TCCCACCCTGGCCCCTATGGGGCTCACACTTCCTCTTCTTTCCCCAGTCTGTCACATGTACTGGATGAGACATTCCGGTTCCTGTCGGCAGTCCTGGTGCTACGTGGGCCCATCTCAGTAGGGAAGCACACTACTCTTTTTTTTAACACATTAAATTTGTTTTCAAAGGGGCTATGAAAATAGGGGAAGAGTGGGGTGGTCTTGGCTGCTCTTGCCTTTGATCTGGAAACTGCCCTCCAGCCCCCAACCCAGACCCACCGGCTTACAATGGAGTGGGGAAAGGATGGAGCCCCATACTTCCTGAGGTTCTGGATGCAGATTTCTGTTTCACTTGGATTGTTAGTCTAAGAAAATTCCTTTCTGAACAGATCTTTTATTCCATGAAGTTGGCAAGTTGGATATGAGTCCTGGTGCTTTGACCAATGTCAGGACAAGCTCCTCCAATTTCCCATCAGCCACAAACCACTTTAACCCCAGTACCCAGAGCCAGCCTCTTGATCTACATGGAAGCACTGGCAGCAACCTGGGGACAATCCACAGTGCCTTAGTCCCATTCCCTTGCCTCCCTGCTCTTCTCACTCACCTTCCCACACATATTTTTCCACCTTCTGCCAAAGGTATGGCTGAGAAGCAACTTCTGGTTGGCCCCATTTCAAAGAGAAAGGAAAGAACTCAGGTGATTATCCAGGTCTTACACCATTCTGACCCTCTAGTTCTAGGTCCAAAATCTTGCTAGTGGTCTGGGGGCAAGAGATGCCCATGTGTCCTGGGGGGCTTGCTGCCTTTGCAGATACTGCTCTGAGTCCTTGTTTCTGCAGGAGGCTAGGTCTGAGGATGCTGCATGCTCTTAATGCTCCCCCCTTGTTCTGACCCAGTATCCTCCTAATGGTCTGAGTCTTGAAAACATGGAGTTGGTGAGTGTGCAGAGCCTCCATGCAGATGGAGTGTTATAGAAGGGAAGGGCTGTGCACCAGCCTGGCAGTGGGGCAGCAGGGTGGATGAAGGACCTCCTTAAAGCAATTTCTATGCCAAGAACAAACAGTTCCTTGGAACACCCCCACCCCCATAAATACATTTGCATATCTCAAATCTGAAGAGTAGAGGGAAGGTGTGGAAAATTCGGAAACCAGAGTGAGGCTCACCTAGCTAGATTCAGGCAGCAGTGTCGCTGTGCTTGCCAGGGCCTTTCTGGACCATCTATGTAAAGCCTCTCTGAACCTGCAGAGCCGTGGGCAGTCAGGCTGAGGGCCATTGGCTCAAGCATCTGGAGCTAGGCTTAAGGACATCTAATGCCTTTCAACCTATAGCCTCCAATCAGCCCAGGATAGGGGCTGGCCACAAGCACATGAGGGCTATATATCTGGGCCTTGATACATATGCAGCTTGTATGGGCTCTGATAGCAGCCTTTTGACCTGACTTATCCGAGTTGCTTCATTAAAAAGGTTTCCATCTCATCTTCCAATTTTGGCCCATGCCAGTCAGGCTTGAGTCACTAAGATAGTAGGGTGGGGGTGGGGGATGTCAAGAACAAGACCTCACTTGCCTCTCCACCTGTCTCACCCCTCTCATCTGGGCCCTCAAGGGCTGGGAGAAGGCTCTGACCCATCCCTGGGCCCCTATTGGCCACTCTACAAGCAAGGCAGATGTTAGCTCACAGGTAGTCAGTCTGTGTGGGCATTGCTAGGCTGGTAAACTCACCAGAAGGCTCAAAAAGTTTGTTGGGCTGGGGAGTTAGAGATAAAGCATCTGCCTAACATGCATGAGGGTCTGGGTGCAGTTCTCCAAGATACAAACAAAAGGTGTCATCTTTATAGATGAGACACAGTACTGTTCCTGGGGTGCCAAGGCAGAGGTTCCAGTGGCTGAGCCCTGCTGTGAAGGCTGCTCTGCCTGGGCAGCTGGCCCTGTAAGCAGCCCAGTGATGGATCCCTGAGACTCTGGGGCTCTACAGAGGTGCACAAGTGCCTCACGGGAACTTCAGTGCCATTTGTACCTCTACCACTGGCTTGCAGCTCTCTGGGCTCAACTCAGTGTCTTTGAAGTGATACCCTGCTGCGTGGCAGGAGCACCTTAGGAGGGCTGTACACTCAACTCAGGGCTGCATACCTACCTGGCCTGCTTCTCAGTGCTGTTACCTCCTGGGCCCTCTGGGCATTTTTGTTTGCCATCTTGGTTTGAGCCAACGTGAGTCAGCTAGGGGGCTGAAGTGGCAATTTCTTTTGGCAGCTGTTGGCCACTTGCCATGTACCAGGCACCATACTGCAAACTGGATTTCTTGTCTTGGAGGATTTTGCCTGGTCCCTGCAAAAGAAATGTGGGGACCTGGAAAGAGTGGGCAGCTGTCTTCACTGGGCAGCTCTGATCAGGACCTTGTAATGAAACTTGGGGCAGATTGCTGCTCCTGTAGTTCATAGCCCTTACCTCAGGGTCATCAGGGCTCCTGGGCTGGGGAAGAGCACAAGCACAGGAAATTGGGCAAGCACAAATTCTGTTGATGCCATATTCAGCTTGTTTTCAGTTGGAAAAAGACGGCTTGCAATAGTCATAGAAAGCCTCCCCCCCAGGAGTCTGTGCCCTTGGAGAGTGGCTACCTGGACATCAGCTGGGCTGTGGATGAAACAGAATGTTGTGAAAAAGAATAGGGAGCACCCCTCTCTAAGAGCTAGGCCTCTGGGGAATTGCTCCCCTGATACACCTTATGGGAAATGCCTGTAGGGAGCCCAGCTGGGGCTTAGCAGTCTGGCCCTTGCTGAGTATGCCCAAGAGTGAAGCTTATCCACACCTCACAAGGACTGTGGGCTTGTGGGTTCATGCTATGTTGAGGGGCCTTCCTCTAAACATTCAACCTTGCTCATAGCTGAGTTCAGATGGCCCATGGCACTTGTGTAATAAAAGTGGAATATGTCAACTTCGTGAGCATCCCTTTTAAGTCTTCTTTTGTAACTCTGGAACACCCCATAGATTGGTGGGAAGCATAAAACTGGGACAATATGAGGATACCATGGTCACAGTTTCTATCTTGAAAAGCAAATCCTGACTGCCTAAGGTGAATAAAAGGTCTGGAAAACACAATCATAACTCTTTCCCCATCAAAGTTGAGTAACATGTCTCTGTTCTGAACCAGCTGAACCTAGGGCTCCACTGCAGCCTGCTCAAGGCCAGGACTGAATGATGAAGGGGTCTTCTACCTCCAGTCTCAGCCACCCTGGTCACAGGGAGAGATTGGTGTTGGCTCAATTTCAATTCTCCTATATAGGTGGGCTCCTACACTAATGTGAATGCAAATGGCCCTCAGGAAAGCTGTCCCAGGAGCTCGTATGGGGCAGCCCACCTCAGACCTTGGGTCCCCAACCTGCCTAGGCTCTGTGTGTTCTGAAATGACATAAGGATGCAGGGAAGCTGGCAGTCCTATGTCTGTACAAACTCAGGTGACAGGGACCTGCAGCCAGGACGGAACTTTCTGCCACCCATATTACTCGTGCCCCTATTAGCTGTGGTGTCTTTGAGTCTAAGATCCTGGGATAGTGGGTTTCAGGTTCTTCTTTTTCTTCTTCTTGGTATCAGGAGTTGAACTCAGGGCCTTGCACTTGCTAGGCAGGTACAGCACTACCGGGCTATATCCCTGGCCCCTCAGGTTCTTGATTTGGACTTCTCACTGCTGTTCCCTCCCAGGCCCTCTGGGCATTTTGGTTTGAGCCAACACAATATAGCTAGGGGGCTGAAGCTGGTCAAATCTTAACTCCTTTAGCACTGCAAAACATATATGTTTTCCCCTCTTTGGTACCGGGGATTGAACTCAGGTCCTTGCACTTGCAAGACAGGCGGCGGCACCACTGAGCTAAATCCCTCACCCAAAATATCTTTATTTCTGTTTCACAGGTAAGGAGACCAGAATGTAAACTGGACTCAGACCAGCTCTTCTGATAGGTGGCAGCATCTCGGTCAGACCAAGCAGTCATTGAGAACAGTCATCTAGGAATGGGAAGTGGAGGGCAGAGTTGGGAAGTCGAAGCAGAGGTCTGGGGTGAGGGCAGAGACTACAGCTTTAGGGAGAAGTAGGGAAGAGTAGTGGGCAGTGTGGTAGATGAGTTGTGTGTGAGGAATGAGACATAGTACCATTAGCTGTTGTGTAGATAGGATAAACTTTTTTTTGTTTTGTTTTTTGAGACAAGGTCTCACTGTGTAGTTGAGACTGACCTGGAACTCACTATGTAGCCCAGGCTGGTCTCAAACTTAGTGCTCCTGCCTCAGTCTCCTGAGTGCTAGGATTATAGGCGTGCGCCACCACACCCGGCTAGATAGGATAAACTTGCCTAACATCACCCAGCTAGCAGATGGCACTACAGGAGCTGTCTGAAACCACACTGGGGGAGCAGGGTAGGGGTGCTCCTGCACAGGCTCAGAAGGCTACTACTCTGGAGCTAGGAAGGGTACAGCACCCTGGGGTCTCTGTGGTGAGGGAGGCCCAGGAAAACACTGGGAGTAGTGCTGGATGCAGGGGTCAGCTGCAGCTAGCCAACCTGGACCCTCCCCATCCAGTGGCCTGAGTCGCAGCCCTCAATTCCATAGCCTTGCTCCTCTCCTAGTCCTAGGTTCCTGACCTGCTGTTAAGTAATACGCTGAAAATGGTCCAGTCCCACAGAGGCCCATGTGGGCACAGGGCCTAGGATTTCTGAGGAGGGTTGTTAGGGTCCAGCTCTACCTGACCATGTGCCAGGAGCTTAGGACCTGCAGGTGGAAGGGGGCCTACATTGAGGTGGAGGCAGGGATACAGTCTTTCAGCTGACTGGGGCCCACCCCCCAAACCTCAAGCAACTCTTCTACCTGCTCACTGCCCACCTGGTGCTGTCCTAGTGCTGCAGCATAGCAGTAGCTTCCTGAGGGCAGCCTCCTCAGCCATGGGAAGGCCATACCACCTTGCTGCTCAGGGCTGGCAAGATGCTCCAGCTCCCTGTGGGGGCCAGGCCAAGATGACTGGCTTTATGGAGGGGGAAGAGTATCTCCTGCATATATGCCATATGTCCTTGTGGCTGTTCCTAGAGTTGGAATGACTAGTCATAGGACTATAGCTATAGTCCAGGGAGCTGCTGGGAAATCTAAGGAAATACTCTCCAAACCAGGTGCTTTTGTGGCCAGCAGCTCTGCTCACAGCTCAAACTGCCCCCAAATTGCAGGAAACTGAAAAGCAACATCACTCAATACAGTGGGCTCTTCAGGTATTGAACCACCCCATGATGGGAAGAGGCCTGCATACGTGGGGCTGCATTTTCCTGTGTAAGAGGAGGGGAGACATTCATTTGGGATGGACACAGAATTGGTCCTTAGGGAATGGGTAAAGGGAGGACTAGGGGACCATACAGGGTGGTGTTCTGCACTTGTGGACTTTGGCTGGGCAAGAAGGTGGCCTCTTTGAGGCTGGGCCCTACTTCTTGCTGAGCTCCTTGGCCCGGTAAGTAGCAGCCTCCACAGCACTCATGGTAGCTGCTCGAAGCCCACCCTGCTCCAGGGCATGGAGGCCATAGATAGTGGTGCCGGCCGGTGTGAGTACATCTGTTCGCAGCTGAGCTGGATGCTGCCCTTCCTGCTGTAGCATCTTGGCTGTTCCCTGGAGAGAAGAGCATTAGGGGCAGTGACTCAGGAGGTCAGGCAGCCATACACAGCCTCACTCTGGATTTCCCGGGCTTGCTGTCCTCCTGCCCACTGAGGTGGTACAGACCTGGACCTTTCTGATATTCCCATGAGGATCTCCTCACTCACCAGCAGGGTCTGGGCAGCAATGCGGTGGGCCAGGCTACTAGGCATGCCCATCTTGATAGCACCTTCGGCCAGGGCCTCAGAGAATGTGCACACCTGTAGCAGCAGCACAGGGTACAGGAGGTCAAAGTCAATACTCCAGCTAGGCAAGGTGGCACACATCTACAATGCTGGGAGCCTTAGGCAGGAGAATCACAAGTTCAAACCCAGCCTGGGCAAGTTAGCAACTTATTGAAACCCTGTTTCAAAATAAAACATAAAAGTAGGCTGGAATGTAGGTCAGTGCAAAGGCCCTGGGTTCAATCCCAGTACCAAGGGGAGGGGGGAATCCAATATTCCCCCTGGACATAGCATCTAGTCTGGAGAAGGCTCTCAGAACCTTGAGGCCCCAGGGCTAGACTTGGAGGGTAAAGGCTATCATGGGAACTTGGTAGGCCTCTCTTTGCTGAGGGCCTGCCTACAGAGGTAAGCAAGACAATACTCACAAAGGCTACACCACTGCCACTCAGGGCTGTATGGATGTCCACGTAGGCCTCAGGCACCTCTTCGCACTGCCCACAGGCCTCTAGCAAGTTCTGCAGGAGTTTAGCCTCATTGTTCCCAGTGTGGACGCCCCGTGCCATCACCATGGCCCCTTCCTGGACTACACAGGGCAGGTTGGGTGATACCCGGAGCACTCGTGTTTTGGGGGGCAGTAGCTGGCCAGAGAGAAGGCAGAATTAGCCAGCCTGTGGGATCAGGCTCTGCTGGGCAGACACACCTAAACCAGCTGCAGGCTCCCATCTTCATTTCCCAGGCACAGTGGCCACAGCAATCCCGTCAGCCCCTTAATCCAGGTGGGCCACCTGGCCACCTCTGCAGGCTGGCTGGAAAGTTGTCTGCCAACTGAGTTGGGCCAACAGAGCCTCATCCCCACAGGCCACTTACCTCCTCTAGGGTGCTCAGAGAGACTCCAGCAGCTACAGACACCAAGATGTGCTCAGCAGTGACTACAGGGGCCACCTCTGCGAGGACAGCTGGCAGGACTTGAGGCTTGGTAGCAAAGATGACTACTGAACACCTCTGCAGCACCTCCTGGTTGGAGTGGGTAGTCTGGCAGCCCAGAGCCTGTATGGGACACCATGACCAGGACCAGAGGCTGCAAGGGGGGAATGTCCTTCTACACCACAGTTCTCTGTGTACAGGCCACCCTGCACACCCTAGGTCCCCTGGGGCCTCCTGCACTTACAGGTGTGTGCACCAGCCCAGTTCCAAATGCCCAACACTCAAGAGCATTGTTCCTCAGGCTCCCTGAGCCTGCACTACTTGAGCCCTCTGTCCCAATGTATGCCCATGACCATCACTGCCTACCCTGGTACTGCATAAATGTGTACACACAGGCACTCACCTGTATCTGCTGGGTTCTCCCACAGCCTTGACTTACTCTTGACCTCTGATATTCCTTTCCCTTTCCATCCTAGCCTAGACAGTCTCAATTCTTCTGCTAAATAGGCTGTACTCCATGGTCCTAATAAGTGCCTCAGAGGAAGAAGCCACCCCAGTCCCTACTCACCTGGAAGTGGCAGAGGTTCCTGTCTGTTGGTGCACTGGCCAGCACATGCTGAGCTTCCACTTTGCCTGGACAGAAAGGCAAAGGCAGAGGACAAGTGAAGGATGGGAGGAAAGGGAAGAGCATGTCTAGCTTCTCATGCTCAGCCAAGATTGACCCATCTATGATGCCTGCTGGACTGAGACTCTGTAGGAACTCAAAGTAGGGATGCTCACCCACACAGGGCCAGACAATCATATCCATTCAATGTTATTAGGCAGTCACTGTCACCTGCCTGCTGCTGGACAAGAAGGCTTGGGGTCCTGCCTGGCTCTGTGAGGACACAGACCCAAGGAGACCCTGCCTCTAGGAAGGAATAGCTGCCTGGAGCACTTAAGCTTGTTGCCAAGGAGCAGAACCCCAAAGAGAACACTGAGCCTAGAAGGGGGCATGGTGGGTACAAAGGTACTTGACAAAAGGCTCTCTTGGGACTGAGCTCCTCTGAAAGGGGTAACTTACATAGTGAGTTCAAGGCTAGTGTAGCCTGAACTACACAGCTCAAAAGACCAACAAAACAAAACCCGAAAACCAAATCAACCAAACAAAAACATACATGACTCATTGAGTCTCTGCACAGCCATGAGAGGTAGGTGGACACCTGGAATATGCATTAAACTATCTTCTGTGACCCTCTGGACTTTGAAATATGGCTGAAGGCAGAGAGCCAAAGGTCACCAGCTCTCACTTGTTTCTAAATACAGTGCAGTAGTATTAGGGTAGTATCTTCTGCTATATACCAGGAGTCTTCATGATTGTGCTCTTCTCCTGAGCCCCCAACCCCATACAGCAGACCCCTGGAAGTGTCTGGAGACTCTCTGTCCCACCTTGGGGGTGCTACTGACATCTAGTGAGGAACGACACCAGATGCTATAAACATCCTATGATGCACAGATTGAATTATTAGGCCCAGAATGTCCACAAAGGTGCCCACTACCAGGAGTGGAGCCCACGAACAAATAGAAAGGAAAAAAAAAATCAGAGGTTCAAAAAAGTCAAAGACAAAGATCGAGAAGCCAGGAAGTCAGCCATATGTGCTGTCAGTGAGCCAACACTGTCCAAAAGAAATATGGTTTGAAAAGCATGTAACTATACATTTTCTAGTACACACATTAAAAAGGTAAATAACAGGTGAAATTAATTGTAGTTTTCTCACTATATCCGAACTAGTACTTGTTCAACATGTAGTTAATATAATAAAAAAAACAAGACTTTTTTTTTTGTTTTTTTGAGACAGTGTCTCACTATGTCGTTGAGACTGACCTGGAACTCACTATGTTCCCCAGGCTCATCTCGAACTCACTGTGATCCTTCTGCCTCAGCCTCCCGAGTGCTAGGATTACAGCCGTGAGCCACCACACCCGGCTTGTGACTTTTTTTTGTTGTTGTTGTTCTAAACCTGCTAAATCCATAATGTCCTTTATTCTCCACACAATGAGTTCCCTCGGACCACCCTATTTCACTTAGGCTTCTGGTCGCTGTCTGGCAGCAGCTCCGGCCGCCCCACGCAGGTCTGAGCCGTGCCTGGCCCACCCACTCCCAGGGGAAGAGCTGCCAACCGGTCGCTGGGACCAGGGGACAGTGGGGGCCCTGGGACACTGCTGTCTGTCCCAACCCAGGGGCTCTGTGGGTTCACTGCACCAAACCAGCGAGAGCCAGGTGCGCCCCTCCTGCCGGTCAAGTGGGCTTTTCTAGCGGAGCCTTCCACCCACGCCTCACCACCCACCTGCTCGGATGAGGCCCTGCGCTATGGCCTCTGCCATTCGGCCCGCACCCACGAAGCCCAAGCGCCGCGGGTCAGACCTCACAGCAGCCATAGCTCTCGCGGTCCTTCAGCTAGAGAAGTAGATCCCACCCCTCACTGTTCACTGGCTGAAGAGCTAGCCGGCCCATCACCGCCTATTGGTGAAGAGAAGCAGGTAGGTGGGGCTTATGACGTGCGGCGTTGAGGGTCGGGAGCACTTGAAACTGTTGTGTGCAATGGGGTGCCAGAGCTGGTTTCCCAAGGCTCCTGTATGGTCAGACCGCGAGTTTTCGGAGAAGGGTCACAAAAGAGTGGGGAGCTACTTCTGTGCATCGCTTCTGTTTCACTCTGGGTAACCCGAGCCTGGAGTCGCCTCCAAAACAGCGAAGGGATATTTTCACAGCAGACGGCCCCAAATCGCCCAAGATGGGGCTGATTGGGATTCCAAATAAAGAAGCACCAAAGACACGGAAGGTTGAAGTGACCCTACACTATTCTGACCCCTGATCCTAGATATCAGTGCACACCTGGTAACTGTCCCTTGCTGAGCTGGCACAAATTGATGGTCGTTAGGCAACTGAAAATCTATAGTTGGAGTGGGAGCAGAGCCTGTATGGGACACCATGTCCAGGACCACACACATGGTGTGCAAGACAGGCAAGTTCCAGGCTGGGGCCCTATCATCAGGACAGGACAGGCCTAGGAGTGGACCCTAGCAGCTCAGACCTATTCCTCTGGTGGGGTCAGCATCCTCAGTGTCCCAGCTCTCACCCTGATTGGTGGCCTCTGGGTGAGGATGAGCTTGCAGAAAGCTGGATGGGGAGCTAGAGAGATGTAAACCAGAGGAAGAATGCAGAGGACAGTGCAGAAGTTGGTGGATGCACTAGCAGATGTAAAGCAGAGGACATGGAGTGTCCTAGGAGCAGCGCTGGGATAGTGGGAGGAGGTGATGGGCTCTGAGATGGAGGTATGGGATCAGGGGGAATTGGTGGTGGAAAGCATCTGGATGTGTGAAGTATCTCTGGAAGTCAAAAGGAAGAATGTGCTGAAGGTTGGTTGGGCTGAGGAAAAATGAGAAACTGACAACACTCTGGGGTTTCATCCTGAGCATTTAGGAATAGGATGATTGGGAAAAATGGGTCTGGTTTTCTAGAAGGGACATGTGGAGGTATGTTCAGGACAGCCTGGCTGTGGCAGCACTCACAGTTCTAGCTGTGGTGCTGGAAGAGGTCATGAGCTGGCAACATGGTGAATTAGAAGCTTTGTACAGGTGGCACCTGTATAGGTGGGGTTATCTTCACTTTATCCTCTGAGCCTACCAACAACTTCCACAGACTTCTGGGAGCAAGTTAGGTCCCTGCTCTTCCAAGCTTCCAGTGATGGCTCAGCTCTCAGGCTTGTAGGCTTCAGCCCTATGTCATCATAAAGGACAAAACCCAGTTGTCTTAGGTGAATGAAATCTAGGTACATGAGATCCACAAGTGGATATTCCAGAACCACAGTGAGACAAGTCAAGGGGCTCAGTGCCACCTGCTCCTGGGCACTTCAGCTCCCCCAGCCCACCACTCCTGAGTCCATACCCCTGTGCTACCTTGACTGCCCGGAGGACTGTCACTCAGCCTCTTGGATTTTGCTGTGTCCCACTGAGACTGGGAAGGCCAATGGTGCTCACCCCTTGTTGGGAGTGACGCGCTGTAGATCACTATGGCCAGGTCTAACTCACCTTCTCCTGCAGAGGGCGTGGTGGAACAAGGCCTGGCTGAGGAGACTATCCTTCCCACCCATTCCACAGAGAAACATCAAACAATATCTCCTGCAGATCCTAGCCATTCTCCCTATTCCAATCAGGCATCCCCTTTCAGTTTCCTTATGTACACTATAAATAACGGTGCTGAGCATACAAGCCAAGCTCTTCCTCTCATCAGGAAAAAGACTTTCCACCTGGCCTCAGCTATGTAAACTTTACTGTCTTCTTTGTTTTATTAAGTTTCTTAATCTCTCACCGTTGTTTCACAATGAACACTTGGCAACTCCTCTGGTGGCTGAAGCTGATCTACCACAAAGTCAGGCTGGAGCCCCAGAGACGTCACCCAATCACCATCTCCCAGAGAATGTCTAAATCCAGACCTGGCCTCTTTCCCCAGGGTCTTCAGGGCTGATGCAGAGCCCAAGTGTGTATGGCTATGTGTGGAGGGGCCAGGCTCTGGCCAGGGACTACCAGGGAGAAGTGCCCTGCCCCATTTCACAGCCCAGTAACAGTCCATATGCAACCTGTGCTCCTGCTGCTCACATCACTAGCCTCTCGGTCCAGCAGCTCTCAGGGGCTGAGCAGGGGGATATGGGTCCCCGGATGGTCAGGCTAGGGAGGCAGTGCTGGGTGTGAAATAGCTGAACACAGAGCTACTAAGGCCAGGCCTATGAAAATGTACTTTATTGGGTCCCAGACTCAGGACAGTGGGACCAGAGTGGACTAAGGCAGGGATGGCAGGGAGGGAGGTACTGGGCCACCTGGGCCTTGTTTTCCTGAGGAGAGACAGAAAAAGGGCCTTGCTGGTCAGCCGCCTGGAGCCCCCAGCAGAGGGGGTGGGATATGGGCCAGATTGCTGGGCAGTGTTCTTGGCCTCCAACGAGGTCTGAGGCCAGGGGCTGCTGGGGTTTGCTAGCTGAGCACCTGCTCCGCTCATGCCTTCACTTCCGGGCCTGCTCGTAGTTGTCGGTGAACCAAGTGCAGGTTTCCTTCACAGCTGTGGGGCAGGCAGGTGAAAGCTGGTAGCAGGTGAGGGAAGGGAGGAGACAGGGCAGGTAGAGGCCCCAGGGACAGAGGGACCAAGTGATATAGGCTGTGATGGGGATCTGGTGACCATGTCTGTGGGGCACTCCACCCCCACCTGACAGTAAGGAAGCTGAGGCCACAGCAGGGGATAGAGGGAGAGGTACTAGGGTTCAAAGCAAAGGGGGCAGGAAAGACAAGAGGCCTGCAATTGTGTTGGTGGGGGAGCTACTAAGGGAAGGGTTAGGGCTCACCCTGCTTGAAGGGTGTGAACTGGAAGTCGGGCAGGTAGGTCCGAAGTTTGCCATTGCTGGCTGTCTTCTTAAACTGCCCATCTGACTTGGTTGTGTCAAACTGGAAGCCTTGGTCAAGGCCACAGCAGAGGGAACATCCCCATCCCCACCCAGCCTTGAACCTCTGTCTTTTTCTGCCTGGGCAGACCTGCCATCTTCCAGCTGCCAGGGGGAGCACCACCAAGGAATAAAATGCTGTTACTCAGTTGTCCTACATGGTGGAGGGGCACAGTGTCCATCCCTGAAGGTAAAGGATACTGTGACTTCCCCATGGAAGCCCATGGCCTCCATCACAGCCTCGGCTGCCTCCTTGATGGAGACTTCATCTTCCTCGCCCACTGTGGAGAACAATGGGTCAGCAGCCAGTCAAGCCCCTCCTACCCAGCCCCCCACAGGTATTCCAGGAGAGACATGGGTCCTACCCTACTATGAGGGTGAGGCTATCCAGTGTCAGGGTACGCACCTGAGAGGATGATGGGCTCCACCTCACTGTACTCCCGCAGGACCCAGATGAAGAGCTGGGCCAGGTCCTACACGTGGGACAGGCAGGTCAGAGCCCACACTGCTGTTTCTGCTCAATTATGCCACACCAAGAGCTCGGCCTGGACAAAGTCCCTCCTCCAGGCAACCCTTTCTCCCACTGAGCTGCACATAGCCTCCCTCATGCTGCAGCCTCCCTGACAGCCCAACAGGCCACCCTTTGGAGGAAGGGCTGTGTTCCCTCTGTACACACCAGCGAGTAGATGAATTGCCTCTGTGGCTTCCCAGTACCCCACACGGTCAGGGCCGAGCCGCTGCCTGAGGTTCAGGGGAAGGGCAATTGTCAGAAGACTCCAGCCAGGCCAGGTCTTCCCAGGAAAGCTGGGACCCGGTCAGGTGGAGACCCAGGCTGAGTGTGTGCTGGGTGGCCACACTCACTCTTGGCCAGGTGCACCTTGTGGATGAGGCCAGGCAGCACGTGGCCATCCTCAATGTTGAAGTTGTCATGAGGGCCAAAGACATTGGTGGGGATAACAGCAGTGAAGGTACAGCCATGCTGCTGGAAGTAGGCCCTGCAGTGGGACAGCATCTACTGCTCTCACCTGTCTTGAGCCTGCTGTGCCACCACTAGCCTCTGACAGATGCAAAAGCAAGGGGCACGAAGGCCAGTGCCCACCCAGCTGACCCCACCCACCCAAAGGAGCTTGAACCCTCTTCCCCTCTCCCAGGTAGGTCTGGGCAGGACACTGGAGAAGGACCTGTTCTGCACGTCAATCATCCTCTTGGCATAGGAGTACCCAAAATTGCTGCTGTGTGGAGGACCATTGTGGATCTGTGGGAGCAGAAGCATTGAGGCTTTCATTTTCAGTTCCATCCACATACCAGGCCTCACCCCCAGAAGGTCCCATTCCCTCACCATGGTCTCATCGATAGGATAGGTTGTCTTATCAGGGAAGATACAGGTGGACAGGCAGGAGACCACTTTGCGGACGCCCACCTCAAAGGCAGAATGCAGGACGTTGTCATTGATGTGTACATTCTTCCTCTGCAGGAATGGAGCCGGAGCATATCATGGCAGGCCTGCTCTCCAGGGACAGAGCTGGGGACAAACCCTGGGCCCTTGGACAGGGCAGTACCTGTGGCTGTTTGTCCTGTTCCCAGGACAAGACACAGCCTCCCGGCATGACCTTACAGAAACCACTGCCCCCACCAGGGCTGCAGGAGGGTCCTGCCTACCAGCTGGAGGGAGGAAAGGGCCACTCCCATGGAGGCTGCAGAGATCAGAGCAGGTGGCAGAACATGGAGAAGGAGCCCAGGGATCCCAATCTGGCTTTAGGAGGGGCTCCCACTTACATAAGAGAAAAGGCTCCTCCACACCCCCAATTCCAGAGGATCCACATCCAGCTCTAGTACCCATGGCCTGTCCTACCTTCCCTGATTTCAGCTCACTTCCTTAAATCAACTTGAGACGGCCAGGAATTTTGGACTGGTCTTGGGACAAGGGAGAGGAAAGAGGTGGTAGCCAGGCAGTACGCTGGAAAGGCTGATGCAGACAAGGAGGGCCTTGAGCAACAGAACTCCTGGTGGAAGCCTCTGCTGACTCCAGTGCCTGGTATAGGTTTGCCAGACCAAGGCCACTCCCCAGAGGCAGGTGAGCCAATCCTCAATGGCACAGTCAGCAGAGGCAGAACCCTTATATTATGTTCCCTCCTCCCAGGGCATGCACCCAGAGTGTGTGGTGGGTCTTGCTTGACCAGAACCATCCTGGAAGCCTGAGGCTCTGACAGCCCAGACGGCTCAGGAGGCAGAAACTAGCCCCAGGCCATATGGCACATGTTGGCTTCTTCAATCTCACCAATCCTGGAGGTCAGTTCCACAGCTTTTGCGTTGAGCCAAATGCCTCTAGGCCCATCTGCATGTCCCTCTGCCCACAGCAAGTGTGAGCCCCTGGAAGCCCACCCCATCCCCACACTCATGGGCTGCCCCCACCAGACTACACCAAGCCCCAATCCTTAGGGACTTCCTGGGGTAGGTACATGAGGCTGTGAGACTGGAAAGCTTACCAAGAAGTTCCCAGCTCCTGGATCTCACAGTTTTTTGTCCCCTAACTTACCCAGAAGTCCAAATTGTATTTGATATTCCGGAACAGGCCCCCCACCATTGCAGCAAGATGGATGACATGGGTGGGCTGGACTTTCTGGAACAGGGCTTTGGTCTGTGCTGCATCCCTGGGTGGGGAGCCAGACTGTCAGAGGCCCCAGCGAGGCCTGAGGGAACTAGCAGTAGGGACCAGAATAGTAGGTGCAGGAGCTGAGGGAGGACAAGGCAGGAGAGACAGCCAAAGGACAAGTGGTTAAATTCAGTGCCTAGCAGAAGGGTGTGGACTTCTGGGAGAGGACAGGAAAACATTCACCTAACACATAGTCAGCACACCCAGGCCAGGACTGCTAACTAGCAAGAAAAGCCTGGACTTGTGGCTACTGACATACTCATGGAGCCTGGAGCTCTTCAGTCTGCACAGGGCACTGGATGAAGGGATTTGGGGGAGTTCTGGGGAGAGTCTCAACTCACGTAAGGTCTGCATCTTTGGAGGAGACAAACACCCATTCCTCTCCTGGCAGGCCAGCCCCATCTGCAACCACCTTCTGGATGGCTCGGCCCACCAGTCCAGAGCCCCCCGTCACTAGGATCCTCATGTGCCCCTGGGGCTCACCCATGTTGGCTGCACCTGGAGGGTCACACAGTGTGAAGTTGAGACTCTAAGGGGTTCCATTCTCCGGCACCCATTCCCTCGAGGCAAAGGGCAGTAGGCCACAGGTAGGCAGACAGACCTACCTGGATTTAGTCACCCAGCCTCCCATCTGTTCCTCTGTCTAGGTCGCCACGGGGCCCTGAAGACTACCGTCCAAACCAGAGCAGCTGGTCCAGACCCACGGCCCCACCAGACGGAAAAGGGATATATTCTCCAGAAGAGACACCAGAGAGGAGGTAGACAACCTTAGGGATGGGGCGTCCCGACTAGATGTGGAGGCTGCTTCCAGCCAAAGCCCACACACTACGAACAGGCAAGGGGTGTTGCCCGCGTTTGCAGTCCGATGCCCACCCGCCCTGATCTGTGCCCTCACGATCCTGATTCCTCCCAGGTAGGTCGCGTCGCTGACTAGACGGCCTTAGGTGCCGCCACCCTCGAGAACCATCCTGGAAATCTGCTCTGCCCCAGCCTCAGGCTCCCATCGCCAACCCGACCGGGGGAGTCTCGCCCGACATTCCGCCCCCTGGACCGCATGGATCGACCAATCGCGGCCCACGGAGATCCTGCGACCGGGCGCCCACCCACTGCTCCGACCTTTGCACGCACAAGGTTTGTCTCGATGTGCCACGTCCCCAGGATCCCCTTACAGTGCTGCGTAGTCTCACCTGAAGCCGGCCCCACCCGCCAAAATAGCTGCTTCCGGCACGGCTAGTCTTGCCACACTCTAGCCAGGTGGAGGGGCGGGGCGAGGGCGGGGGCGGGCTTGCTCGCGGCACTCTGGGAAATGGAGTTCTAGGCCGGAGCCGGTGGGGCCCCTGCTCTTCTGGGAAACGTGTAGCCCCTGGGAAGTGTAGTCAATGCCGCCCTACCTCCTGGGAAATGTAGGCCTGGGATTGCAACGCTACTTGTTTGGTGTTGCATCCCTGGTCGTTTGTATCCGCTGGACCGTCCCGACGACCGTCCCGACAACCTTTTAAGACACACTAGTGTTCCTCCGCGGGGCGCTACGGGTATGGGAGTGAAGAGAGCGGTGTGGGCCGCACCTCGCGAGGCTAGAGCTGTTTAGGGCCTAGCGGCGGAGAACCCTGCTGAGCGAGGAAGCAGAGTTGTGTGCTAGGGTCCACTCCTCCAGGTCCTGTACCTGGCCGACCGGGCCAAGCCCCTGAACAAAATGGTGAGGATGCCCTGGCATTGGAGGGACTCCCTGGCATCCCGATTCAAACTCCTCTGGTCAGGACCCCGCTCCTCAGGGCACACCTCCTTCCCTTTTTCCGCTATGGTGCTTAAGGGCACAGACCGTCAGGAAAAGGAACTGTGCGGGCCGCAACAGCGCCCTTTGTTGCCGACCCTTCTGGTTGCTCAGCGCCTCTTTACGCTATCCTCCTCCTTAAGAAAGGCCAGGCTCACCAGATTTCAGATGGAAATTTAGACCCTCTTGGGGCTTTGAACTATTGCCTCTTATCCGTGTTAAATTATGGCAAAAGATTTGTCTATATTTTCTCCATTCCCTGAGACTTTGGTGTTGTCCACACTGCTGAGGCTTTTTTTTTTCTTCAATTTTTAAATTAGTATATGTTTTACTCTTAAGTGAAATAAACCGGACACACGTTTAAATACCGCATTGTTTCTCTGGTGTGAAGAACACAAAAGTGGAAATAAGGACCAAAATGTATAATAGATATTGGGAAATGGGAAGGGTAACAGGGGGGGAGGGAGGGAGAAAGGAAGGAAGGGGCAAGAAAATAGAAAAAATGGAAACAGCTTTTATACATAGAAAGAGGGGCTTAAGGAGAGAGAAGAATAGGGGAAAAGGCGAGATATATCATGTACAGGACCCTGTAATGAGTGTTATCATTATGCCTAAAATGTACCAAATGTTTTGCTATTTAAATTTTTTAAAATAGGGGATTTAGCTCAGTGATGCTGCTGCCTGCCTTGCAAGCACAAGGACCTGAGATCTCCAGTACAAAAAAAAAAATTAAAAATAGCACCAGGCATGGTGGCTCATGCCTGTAATCGCAGCACTCAGGAAGCTGATGCAGGAGGATCGCTTTGAGTTCGAGACCAGCCTAGCCTGGGCTACAGAGTGAATTCATTTTTATTCTTTTGTTTAACTCCTCTTTGAGTTAGATGTATTCTTTCTTTTTTTTTTTGGTATCGGTATGGGGATCGAACTCAGGACCTTGCGCTTGCAAGGCAGGCGGCAGAACCACTGAGCTAAATTCCCGGCCCAAGAATGTATTCTTTCATTTGGGCTCTTTGGCACTGGTGGCCTCCCTGTCTGTGAGGATTCCCTTAAGTTTTTGTTTTGGTGCCAGGGGTCAAGCTCAGGACCTTGTGCTTTCAAGGCAGGCACTGGCACCACTGAGCTAAATCCAAGACACCCCCCCACTTAAGTATTTTCTGCACTGTTGCTTCTTTGTCATGGAAAGTCTTTACTTCTCCATCCAATTTTGATGGGCACATGTGTTTAAATACCACATTGTTTCTCTGGTGTGAGAAACCAAAAGTGTAAACAAGGACCAAAATGTATAAGAGATGTTAGAAAGTGTGAAGAAAATGTTCACATGAGAAGGGGAACAAGGGAGGTGAGAGGAGGAAAGGAAAGAACCAGAAAAAAGAATAGAAGGAAAAAATGGAAACAAAGCTTTTGTAAATAGGGGAAGAGGTGTTGAAGGGAGGGGAGGGAATGGGGGAAAAAAGCAAGATACGTCATGTACAGGTACAAATTCCCTATGCTGAATGTTGTATATCTAAAATGTACCAATAAAAAATTTTTCAAAAGTCTGCTACTCATGCTTTCCATTAAATTTTTCATCTCATCTATCTCTGCATGCTTTCTTTATATGTTCTATTTTCCAAAATGGTCATTCAGATCTTGTATTGTCTTACTTAACTCAGTTCATTGTTTGTTTCTTCTATACATTCATCAAATATTTTGTGGGCAAAGTTCTTCATCTGTTTAATTAAATCTTTGAGCTTGTTGAACCTCATTTATTTTTCTTTCTTCATTATCTCTTCAAATGTTCTAACTATTTGGTTTGTGAATTCTTTGCTTGTAGCTTTCTATATTTCATTGTCTATAAGATCTGCTTTTGAGGACATCAGAGAGAATACAGGAGTTATAGGGTCATGGAGACTTCCACCTAGATATCAAAGGAGGACCTGAGAGCCAGGCAATGTGTGATAGGGTCTAAGATGTGATGAGCAGCCCCTGAGACAGTGATATATTAATAGGGAAAACTTTTATAAATAGCAAAACCTATAAAATGTTACAATGTAAAATGGTTTCTGCTGTCTCTAACAGCAGTTTGTTTTGTTTAGCTCAAAACTAATAGGCACGGAAGGCACTAATTGCTGAATGAGGCATTTGGCCTTACCCTGAGATAACAGTCAAGGTCTTGAGCACTGATGAGACTGGAGCCACCTGATTGTAAAAGTGTCTAAATGAAAGAACCCATTGCTAACATTTGCTCCCCTGACCCTGAACACCCTCTTCCTATGGACTAGAATAGATAACTAGGCGAATCTTAACAGTAAACTCCCCAACTGCAAAGAACTGTTTGTTCCCTCTGGATTGAAAAAGATTAACTATTCTGTGATCATGATTTGAACTGTGAGAATGAAATATAACCACCCAAATGAAGTCAAGGCTGTAACACCTTATAAAAGGAGGAGGTGTAACCCAGTGTGTCATCAATCGAGGCATGGCTTATGTGCGATCGACCCTTATCGATAAGTAAATTTATTATTTTACTTCCATTCTGCTGCCTCTCTGTGTGTCACTTACTGATTCTTTCCATAACAGTATGAAGCTGTGAGAGTGCAGCCAAGCTGTGGAAGAGACCTTAGGAAGTTAGAGATGGCAGTAATGGGGAAATCTGTAGACTAAGCATGCCTAGCCAGAGAGAGAGAGAGAGAGAGACAGACAGAGACAGAGACAACCCATGTGGGCTGCAAACAACAGGGCCATGAAGGCAGGGCTACTCAAGTGTTTTGTTTGTTTTTTTTTCTTTTTTCTTTCTTATTTTTATTGGCACTTTTTAAGTATACAGTACAGTTATATTCATCATTGGGATCTTGTACCTTTACATGTCAAATCTTGGTTCTCATTTTTCCCCCATACCACTGCCTTCCCTTCACCCCTTCCATCCTCTCCTATTTACAAAGATATAATTCATCAATTTTTCTTGTTGTTGTTGTTATTTTGGTACCAGGGATCAAACTGCAGACCTCACACTGTGAGGCAGGCGGTGGAACCACTGAACTAAATTCCTGGCCGGGCTATTCAAGTCTTTAGGAGGTCACATCTCATCACTATGTTCCTCCAAATGCCAGACAGAGACAAAAAGGACTTGATGTTTTCCCACTGGGTTTGTCTTGCTTTAATCCCATACTCCTTTCCTATATCTTTATTCCTCTCTTTTGGGGGAAATGTTTACCCTGTGGCATTTTATCTTGGGAGTATATGACTTGATTGGGGGGGGTTAAATACATTTTTATGTTTTTGTTCTTTTTATAGCAAAACATTTAACGGTACATTTTAGGTGTATATAATGGTAACACCTGTAGGGGATTTGCATCTGTACATGATAGATCTTGCCTCTTTTTTATAACAATTTTTTATTTTCATCAGGATTCACAACTAAGAGTTTGCCTTGAGTCTCAGAGAAGACTGTACTTTTGGGGAATTCTGGAACTGATGAGATTTTGTGGATACTTGGAGATGGACTGAATGCAATTTTCACAGTGAGATGGACATGAGACTTTTGGGATTAGGGATGCAAGTTATGGTTTGGATTTGAAATGTCCCCAGGCAGAACTCATGCTAAAATCTTGGTTACCAGTTGATGAGCCTTTGGGAAAGTGATTAAATCATGAGGATTCTAACTTTATCAGGTGAATTAACCCACTGATAAGATCATAATTTCACAGCATTATTGGGAGGTGATGAAGCGAAGCATTCAATACAACCTCCATCAAAATTTTTTTTTTTTTTTTTTTTTGGTACAGGGGATTGAATTCAGGACCTTGCACTTGCGAGGCAGGTGGTGGAACCACTGAGCTAAATTCCTGGCCCCTCAATCAAAATTCTAATCACCCTTTTTGGGTAGAAATGGAAAAGTAAATCCACAAATTCATCTGGAGTCACAGAACAGACTTACCTTGATAATAGAAAACACAGTTGGAGGACTCACATTTCCCAAATGTCAAAATATACCCCAAACAAGCTGGGCGTGGTGGTGCATGCCTACAATCCCAGCACTTGGGAAGCTGAGGCAGCAGGATTGCCACAGGTTCCAGGCCAGCCTGGTCTATATAGTGAGTTCAAGGCCAGCCTGAACTACATAATAAGACCCTGCCTTGAAATCACCTGCCCCCCCCAAATATATTACAAACAAGTATATCTGCTGTAATGAAAACAGAATTGTACTGGAATAAGGATAGACATATAGACAAATGTAATACAACTGAATCCAGAAACAGTCGTGATGGATAACTATCCAGTAGCCAGAACACAGAAAGCTCTCTTACAATTTAACAAATGGCAACCCAATTAAAAATTGGACAAAGGAAAGCAGAAGTTCAACAACAACAACAACAAAAATTGGACAAAGGGGTTGTCGGGGGGTTAGTTCAGAAGTGCTGCATCTGCCTGCCTGAGTTCAATCCCTAGTACCAAAAATAAATAAAAATTAGACAAAGGATTTAAATAGCATTTATCCAGAGAAGATACATAAAGATCCAACAACACATGAAAAATATGCGCCACACCAACAGTCATTAGAGAAATTCCAATCACCACCACTGTCAGATACCACTTCATAGTCACTAGGGTGCCCATAATACTAAGAAGGAAATTAACAATTGCTGATGAGGTATGAAGAAATAGAAACCCTTTTTCCAGATGTGGTGGCACACACCTGTAATCTCAGCACTCAAGAGGCTGAGCCAAGGCTGGGGATGTAGCTCAGTGGTGCCTCATGTGCCTGTCAAGCTGAAAGTCCTGAGTTTGATCGCCAGTTTCTTTGGGGGGGGGAGCTGAGCCAAGAGGATTGCTGAGTTCAAGGCCAGGCTGGACTACATAGTGAGGACAAGGTCACCTGAACCACAAAATGAGCTCCTGTCTCAAAAAAGGAAAAAAGGAAGAAAAATCCTTGTATATGATGTTTATGTAAAATGGTTTAGCTATTGTGGCAATCGGTCATTCCTCAAAAAGTGAAATGTATAATTATCATATGATCTAGAATATCATATGATCTAGAAGTTCCACTTCTGGGTACAAACCTGACAGAAATAAGTCATATGTCCTTAAGGATAGAAAATATATCACATTAGATAAAATTCTTTAGGAAGTGGAATGTAACTACAAATTCAAAAAGGGGAGGGTTTTTAAAAATTTTCTGAGCTGACCTGCACTCAGTCACTGTGACATTTAGATTCCATTTGATACATTTGAAGGATTGTCACAGATACAGCCAGACATTCCTTATAGCTGTAAAAATAAATTTTATTCAGTAACTACTGACATACGAGAAAGAGCTGAGCTCCATTCTGATTTGTGCAGAGGTGACTGGGTGCTTTAAAGAGAGAATGAGGCAGTAGGAAATGAATAATGACAAGGGGTTGATCTGTGTAAATGCGATTAGCCCGCTGTGTCCCTAGTGCGCAGTCATGAAGCTGGGATTTCATCTCACAGACAGGGAGCAGACCCCAGCTGGTTGTATTTCAAAAGAATGGCACTCAAGTCTTTCAGGGTGACTCTGCTGAGCTTTAAGAGATCTACAGCTTCAACTGCAAGCTCTTTTTATTAAATGCTCTGGGAAAGGAAGCTCAGGAGCCTGTTGGCCGGAGTAAGGGTTGGTTCCAGCTGGGGTCGTCCCGAGTGCTCCGGGAGTCACACAGGCCAGCCTCTTCGGGCAAGGGAGCACACAGAGCCTCCCACTGAGGCTTCTGCATTTCTCAGGAGGTCGAACACAACCGTTTTATTCTTTGGTGCCTGCACTGATAGCTCTCCAGAAATTGAATTATTTGCCCCTGTTTAAACTTTGGGGGAAATGTTCCCGCAGGAGGGAGCCATTCCCACGCTCTTTGAGGAATACAAGAGTGGTTGAAGTTTGAAGACCAATTTCCGTATCCAATTTCCCCAAGAATGTTCTCTGATTCTGGGGCTACGCCAGTCCTTATCACTAACCCAGAGTGCGGAACGACCCTGGGTCTTCCCTTCCCCTCCGCCGAAAGTCTGCACCACAGAGACGCAGCTGTCGGGACTTCGCTCCTAGAGCGGCGACGGAAGTTCTCGGGCGGGGCCTCAGGCGAGTTCCGGCCGCGGTGGGCGGGCGGCCGTGCGGGCTTTGTCGGCAACTGTGCGGGTATTATCGGCGGCCTGCTGGGCTGTGGGCTTCTCCAGCCTCAGGCCAGAACCGTTCTCTTGCCCTTGGGCACCAGGTGAGTGGCGTGTTACGGGCGGGTGGGGGCTTGGGTCGCCCCGACCGCGCTTGCCTGTTGCCGGTGGCCTCAGCATGTCTCACCGTCCGGGGCTGGACCCTGCGTTTTTCTCCCGGGAGGTCCGAGTGATAACTATCTGGCTCCACCCCGTGTTGTCCGCAGTCCTCGCGGTCTGCAGGGTTTACACACTCTGGCTGCCGCGCCCGCGGCTTCGACTTCCGTGTGGCAGTGTTCGAGCCTCTCCGGTGCTGTCAGGCTGCAGCCCAGGTGTGTGGCGCTCGTTAGGGCGTCACTGCAGTTCTGCTCGCATCCTGCGTGGGTTTGCTGCCTCTGTGCTCAGGAGCTGCAGCATCCGCACCATTGTGCTGCTAGGGCAGAGGCCAAGAAGGAGGTGTGACGAGCAAAGCCAGCTCCAGAGTTTAGGCCTGACGGAGAGAAGGCGAGATGGTCTGTTACCCTGCCCTAGCTTTTTCCTGAAGCTTCTCTTTTCCCCAGAATTCTCTGTGCTAATGTGAGGGGCGTTTTGCCCCCTTTACACGTTTAGCAGTATCACTGTCCAGGGTGCTTAGATCCTGAGTGACGTGCCAGAGGTTTCCAGGGATGTTAATTGGTTGCAGGTGCTGAGTTCACACCGTCTGTCTGTGGAGCTCATACTCGAAGTTGCGCTGCAGTACTCAGAGTTATCGTTCCTCTGAGGTCTACTATCAATGTTTGAGAGAAATAAATGTCTTCTGCACACCTAAGATGTGATAGATGGACATTGTCCTGTGTTTTTACCTCATTCCCTAACCACAGACGGGATCTTTATCCCTGTGAGGGATGTGAAATTATACAGAATCTTTTTGTTGTTGTTGTTGTTAAGAATAGGAAAAATCTACTGCGGGAAAGAAAGCTTCTGTCTAAGAGAGACAGAACGGGGAATGCAAATTGGGTTGCCGGTTTACCCCACTTCTCCAAGATGTTTTACACAGAAAAGCCATGTGGTGAGGCCGGTACAAAGTGGGGCAAAACTGTAAGACCCAATGGAAAATTACAAGGTAGATATGAGGTGGGGCAAAACCATGACCAACCAATAAGATTACAAGTACCTCACCCAGGTTATATTGATTAAATGGGAATCAAATGGGGGAGCAAGGCATACAGCAAGCATACAAGGATTTTCAGTAAGGGAGAGGGTCAGGGATATTTCCTGGAAAGGCTGGGTTAAGACCTTGCCCCCCCCCAGGTGATTGAAACCTATTAGGAATATCAATCACTGCTCTTTTTTTTTTTTTTTTTTAAATAGCCAGGGGAAGCACAAGGGTGTAGTAGTTTCCTTTTACAATTCTGACCTTCATTGAATGTGTCTTGATTGTCCTCCATGTTAGCTCCTTGAGAGAGGCCCTGTCTAACTGCCTATAAGATATCTAATCAATTTACCTATCTGCAATGTCCACCATCTGAAGAAGTACCACTAACTTCTGTGAGGGAGCAAAGAGTGAAGACAGCTCCGGCTACTTCCAGATGAAGAGGATCATAGTTTGATCAGCAGTTAGAGTTACTTCACAGAGGGTCTATCTAAAGGCCTTCCATAGGTGCCAGGTATTGTCATCTTGGTAGTTGCATAGCTGTTAAGTCTGGAGGACACAAAGCCAAAGAAACAGTTAAGAATGCATGGGCCAGGGCCAGCGATTTAGCTCAGTGGTTCTGCTGCCTGCTTCTCAAGCGCAAGGTCTCGAGTTCAATCCCTGGTACCAAAAACAAAAACAAAAAAAAAAAGAATGCATGGGTGAAATTATAAGGTCAGTAGGATTGCTATGAATATAGCCCACAAAGAGGGTAAAGGAGAAGGTCCAGAGGACTTCAGAATCCAAAACAGAAGTCATATTTTTTAGGTTAGCAGTTATGAACTGTTTACAAGGTTGATCTGGTGGATCCTGGTAAAAAAAAAAAAAGTCTAACACATTTGTCATCGGTTCCATTTGTATGACCGCTTGGAGTTTGGCAGCCTCAAAGATGTAGAATCCTGTAGGAAAGGTTCCTTTGTGTCCTGAATATTGTAGACCTTGAGGGGCTAGGGCCAAAATATTGGCTGTCCTTGTAGCCCAGTTACCTTTTTATTTATTTTATTTTATTTTTTTATTTTTGGTACCAGGGATTGAACTTGGTACCTTGTGCTTGTGAGGCAGGCAGCAGAACCACTGAGCTAAATCCCCAGCCCCCAGTTACCTTTTTAGTTTTGGTCTCCAAACATTCTGGAAGCTTTGTCTTGAAATCCAGCAACCACAGAGGGAAGTGCCTTGAATTAAATAACTCTGATCAGTAATCTCAGTGGAAGACATCCAAAATGATGTAGGGAGGCCGGGTGTGGTGGTGCATGCTTGTAATCCCAGCACTCGGGAGGCTGAGGCAGGAGGATCAAGACCAACCTGGGCTACCTAGTGAGTTCAGGTCAGCCTCAACTACATAGTGAGAATTTGTCTCAAAAAAAAAATGATATACGGGGAGAGATGTAACTCCCAAATCTGCTAGATATGTGAAATGTGAGTTTGTGTTTTCTAAAATTGAAGGATGAATTCTAGGAACAGTGGAGGTTAAGAATAGGAAAAATTGGGCCAGGGATTTAGCTCAGCGGTTCCACTGCCTGCCTTGCAAGTGCAAGGACCTGAGTTCGATCTCCGGTACCAAAAAAAAAAGGAAAAATTTATTGAGGGAAAAGAAAGCTTCTGTCTAAGAGAGACAGAAGGGGGACCGGAAAGTGTGTTGCCCCATTTTACAAAATCTTAATAAGTGCTGTAACCTTCTTACAGGAGGTACAGAGAGAGATTTCACAATCTTCCTGGCCTTTCCTGGAGTTCAGGGGATGGATTCTTTGTTTTACTGGAATGGTCTTGGTGATGATAAGGAGAGAGGGTAGAGCTGGTCAGGGAAGTAGTGATTCTAGAACAAGGTGACACCATTGAAGTAGTTCAGAGAGCCTGAGTGCTACCTGGGTCATGGAAGATGACTGGTAAAAAAGAACATTGGTCTTGTCAGGAAAAGAAAACTCATCAGGGTCCTTGAGTGAGCCCTAAGAGTAGCTGCTGGGGTTAGAAGCCAGATGACCTGGGAGAGGGGGTTAACCTGCACATGCCACCCCCCCAACTGATGATTGAACCCAGGGACTTTGCACTGAGCTACATACACCCTCAGCCTTTTTTATTGATTTTTTTTTCTTTTTTTTGAGACAGAGTCTTGCCAAACTTGTGATAGGCTCAAACTTGTGATCCTCTTGTCTGTCTCCCAGAGTACTAAGATTACAAGTGTGCACCACCATGCCCAGTGAGCTGACTTCATTTCACTTCTGTGTAACCTTGACCAAGTCACATCCCAGAACTTCATGGATGGTTGTAAAGAGATAAGATATAACACACCTTGCCTAGTGTCTGGTATACACAGTGCTCAGATGCCTCCAGTGTCTGCAGAGGCAGGTACACAGCTTCTGACGCCTCTCTTGCTTTGCTTTTGTTATTCTTCCAGGTTAAACTTCGCAAACCTTCTTTCTCCTTTTCTTTAGGACACAAGTAACAGGTGGTGCCTTTACCTGTACGGATGCAAAAACCTGAGCTTCTGGTGCTATAAGGGGCACGCTCTGAGTATCCCAGGGTGAATACTCATGCACAGCTTTGGCTTCTCATTTAGACCATTTCATATACATTTTTTTCCCAGCAGATTTCATATTTTGTATTGAAAAGGGTCATATGAGGCCAGAAGCCTGGCATAGTTTTATTCACTGAAATTATTTTAAATCAAAAAGCATTGATTCAATTTTATTTGTATTCACAGAAGAAGAAGGAGCGAAGCAGAAATATAAAATTTCTGATTTTAACCAAGTGTGGTACCGCATTCCTGTAATCCCAGCACCCTGGGAGGCTGAGGCAGGAGGATCACAAATTCAAGCCTAATCTGGACAATTAAGTGAGAACCGTCACAAAAACGGGCTGGGGGTGCTGGTGATTTAGCTCAGTGGTGTTTTTGCCTGCCTGGAAAGCGCAAGGTAGTTCGATCCCCAGTACCAAAAAAAAGGTGGGGGGGCTTGGGATTTAGTTTAGTGTGAAGACCCTGGGTTCAATTCTCAGTATTGCCTCCCCTAATTGCTAACTTTGAGACAAATGCTTTTCTTTTTTAAATAATGACTTTATTTATTTGGCAGTGCTAGGGATCAAATTCAACTTTTTGCATGTTAGAGAAGGACTCTACCACTGAGCTACCTCCCAGCCTTGTGACAAAGGTCTCTTCAAAGCAGGAAATATTTTTTGTGGGGCAGGGTAGGACAGGGTCTCACTTTGTCATGCAGACTGGCCTTTGTAGCCCAGTCTGGCCTCAAACTCACAATGATCCTCCTGTATCAGCCTCCTGAGTGCAGGGATTACAGGCATGTACCACAATGCCCAGCAGGGATATTCTATTTTAAACACTACCTCTAAAGTATAAAAAGAAAAAGAAAAGAAAACTTTTCAGAGGCACATGACTGGTTTAAACAGATGCAAGCTTGTTTGCAGGTAGCATTGCTTAAAAAATAAACAGCAGGGAGCAGTGGCAACGAGTATAATCCCAGCTATTCAGAAAGCTAGGAGTAGAGGATTATAAATTGAAGATTAGCTTGGGCAATTTAAGCAAGATTCTGTCTCAAGAATAAAGATGAGTTTGATCCCAGTACCAAAAAAAAAAAAAAAGATGAAACAAAGAGCCAGATGTGGTGGTGCATGCTTGTAAGCACAGCACTCTAGGCTGAGGCAGGAGGATCAGGGTGAGTTTGAGGGCAGCCTGCTCTATAAAGCAAGATCTTGTCTCAAAAAAAAAAAAAAAACAAAAAAAGAATAAAAAGGGTTGGAAATGTTTCTCAGTGGTAGAGCACTTACCTAGCATGTGTGAGGGCCTGGGTTCAATCACCAGTACTGTGAAGGAGAAAAAGGTCATTAGGTATCACTAACTTCCAAAATGAGAAATTGTACCTCACCCTCAGCCCCTATTTATTTATTTTTTTGGTGTTTTGAAACAAGGTCTCACTCTGTAGTTCAGACTGACCTTGAACTCACTATGTATTCCAGGTTGGCCTTGAACTCACAGCAGTCCTTCTGCCTCAGCCTCCCAAGTACTGGGATTATAGGTGTGTGCCACCAAGCCCGCTCCCTTTTTAAATTTGGAAAAATGGCAAGGTTTAACATATAAAATTACTTTCAAAATATTAATCCCAGCTAATCTCTAAGCAAAATGTCCTATAAAAGTGACACATCACACTTGAGAATGAAAAAAATCTCTCACAATGAGAAGATGAATACCAGAGGCAGGCAGATCTGAATTTATTTTTGTGGTGCTGGGAACTGAAAATAGATCTGAATTTGAATTTAGCTCTTCTCTTTACTGGTTTAATGACTCTGGATGATTTACTTTCCTTTTAGTCTGTTTCCTCTGTCAACAGAGAGAACACCTACCCTTTGAGGAGGGGAGGAGTGCATGAGCGAGTGCAGGCCTTTTGTTCAGCATGGTGCTGAGCTTTGAGAGCCTGATGAATAGTCCCCCCTCCTTTCTGTGGTTCTGACTTGGTGGAGGCTCACCAGGAAGGCATGTGAAGAGCAAAAGTTCACCTTCTTACTAGCCACAGGCTAGGTTGGAACTTTATACTTCAGACCGAATGCCTGTTAGACTGATGCTCACTGGCTGGCTGTACTGTGTGGCTTTCTGCTCTCCTCGTGAGGCTTTCCCTTCTTAAAACTCAAGGCTTTGTGGAGCAGAGCGGAACATGTACCCCTGGAAACAGCTGGCTTGTAAGGGGTGGAAGAGATTGAGCTCGAATGCCTAGCTGCTGTCCCAAGCATTTTATTCTGCCAGCTCAACACCTACCTTGGAGATGGATGCTGACTTCTACGTGGAGGAGGAGGAGAGAGCTTTAGAAGATTTTGAGTAGAAAAATAATCTGACTTAACGCTTTTAAAGGGTCATTTTGTTGGATATGTGGAAGAGAGATGGAGAAAGGAGAAATGAGGCAGGTTCAGGGGCTTGTGTCAAGAAATGATGATGGAAGTTGTAAGATGTAATCACATGTTGGGTGAAATGTGAAGGTGCAGCTTACAGGTTTGTTAATGGGTTGGATATGGAAAGTGAGACGACTATTGCAAGAATTGTGGCCTTGGCAAATGAGATGATGGAGTTCTTATTAGAGGGGAAAATTCAAGGAGGAAAATCAGAAGTTTGATACATTAGGTTTGAAAAAGCAAGGTCATCAGCTGAGGGGCAGGAGGGGATTTTGGACGTTTAAAATGAGAGGAAAAGCAGGAGTTAGGGGAGTGTAGCTTTTTGAGTCATCGGGTAGCGCTGTATTTATGGAACACTCAGTCAACAAGAGTGCAGACAAGTCAGGAGGCAAGCTAAATCTAACCAGAGCTGGGTTGCACACAGGCTGCAGAGGGACAAAGTACAGGGAAGTTGGGGGTATATGAAGAGGATGATTATACAGGTGTCCTTCAGTTCCACAGATAAAATCCAAAGATCCTCAATTCACTTACATGAACTGGTGCACTATGTGCATGTAACCTATGGGTAGCCTCCATATATTGTAAGTCATCTGTAGCTGATTTGATGTACCTAATATAGTGTAAATGCTATGTAACTAGTTGTTATAGTGTTGTTGTTGTTATTATTATTATTATTATTATTATTATTATTATTATTATTATTTTAGGGAATAACAGGAAACGTCTGTATATGTTCAGTGCAGACCATTTTTTTCTTCAATTTTT